GATAAGAAGCTTCTGTTTTTACCTAATATCGCAAAAAAAAATCAAAAATGGGCCTGGAATAGTGCCTTTTTCCCCTAAAAGTTTATCGGTTTTTCGATATGTATAACAACTGTAGTGGGCTGACCTGCAAATAGGCGTCGGCAACAATCGCGAATGCGGCGCACATGTGACAATAAGCAAAGGTCATTATAGAGTTACGACGTACGGGAATGACGCCCTTTCAGCTAGGGAGAGCTGGAACACACGCAATAGGAGCTGGCGGAGGTCGAGGCCGCACTACGCCAAATCCTCCCGGATACCGAGGTAAGAGACGGGTAGGTCCGGCCCCATCACACCACGCAGGCACCGGCGACGCCAACGTTAATGAGTTATCAGCTGTCTAATCGTTGACAACACAATGTCGAGCCTTAAACTGTAAGCCTGTATTGGTATTGTTTCTTTTATTTGGCTGTCGAACATTATTTATGGTTTGAAATATAATTTTATGTAAAATAATTGATATGAAAAAGCCGTCTCTTAAGTTATGACCCCATTTCACCACAGGCAAGTGGCAGAAATGACAATGATCAGCTGACGCATTTTCAGGCCATATTTTAAGGATTTTTCACTGCGTCCCAAAGGTGGCATAGGGCACACGCTTTGATCGGAAAGGGCACATTGCAAGCGAAATAGTATATAATGCAAGTGAGATAATGTACAGATACATTGTGTACTGTGCTGGTGGAGGGGCACTGCAAGCGGGATATTGGGAGCGGGCTGTGATTGCTTTTGCCAGTCTCGAAATTCGCCCAGTCGTAGTGCGTTCTTTATCCGCATTCAAAAGGCGGACCGGCGATTTAATGGCATTTACATTGTTGTTAGTCGCTCGTTTTCCTGAACGGCGTTGGGCGTGTTTGACCTCCCTTGACGCACCAAATTGTACCTATGCTTAGAGAATAAAAATGAATATGCACATGACTGATACATACGCCTCTTCATGCGTTTTTCACCCTTATCAATCGATTCAAAATAGAAATTGACGTGTGAAACATTGCCAATTTGCATTGAAGATACCATGTGTTTGAAATAATTAGATTACGTAAGGTCAAACAGTACCCACCTAAGTTGTGACAAGAAATCATCGGATTTTGAAGCTACATAAAAAATCCATCATAGATTAATGCTTTGGATGAACGGATGCTCTGGAATTGGATGCTTCGGATTTCGCTTCCTTACTGCATATCATGTAATATAACCCAAACTTTTCCCCATGGAAGTTCCTTTGTTTAATTATTATGCCCAGAAATGTGTCGATTTTGTGCCATTTCCGGGCGCTTTGGGGGGGGGGGGGGGCATGGCCCCGTGGCCCCCTCTATATCCTCCTATGGCCAGACGGCCATGACGGCCCTGATCTGACCGTAAGCCATCAAATGTCAAACTTCGCAATGATGCGATACTTTTTTTTCGGAAAACGTGCTTGTATCTCAAAAACTATGATAGCTAGGAGGGCGCAATCGATAGGAGAAAAGCAATCGATATATCTTGAACAGCTCTTTCGTCAATATTTCGTCAGAATTAAGTTCAGATCAACGGTTAAGGCTCCATAGCCAAAAACAGGTAAAATTACAATTTTGTCAATATAGGTTTCATGAAAAGCTTTTGAACTAAAAAAGGTAGAGAATTTTCGTTTGCACGATCGTTCTTCTCTCATTTTTCCCTCGAAATGTCAAGGGCAGAACTTGACCTCACATTAAGGTCATTTCGTGACCAAGATAGATCATGTCGCATATCAGTCGATGCGTTTCGATGAGGTACCTCAAAACAATGATACAATCCACTGCGCATGCAATAGCCCTGTAGGGCCGGATTTTGGGCCAGGCTCCGGGCCTGCGGGCTCCAACTTGACATCTCTAAACAAGGCAAGGCGCGGGTCTGAGGCTATCATTACACAAGGCCGGAGAGTAGTGCAAGACACAGGGCCTTAGAACACCTGATGGTCAACACACCTGATGGCAGGGCAACACGCAGGATCTTAGAGCAGGGCAAGAAATAGTACCTAAAGGTAGAGCAAGACATAAGACACAGGTATGGCACAAGGCCCGAAACACCACCCACGTCTTGTCATACCTTCGGGCCCCGAAGGTATGACAAGACGTGGGCGGTGTTTCACGGACGCTGCTATCAAATTCCGCGAGCTGACGTCATACTTGTGGTAGTGTTTGAGCAATGGGCCTGTTGATGTCTCCATGGGAACCCAATTTGACACTGTAATAGCAGCGTGCTGCTATCACCGGTGAAACAGGGCCAGGGTATGGGGCCTGAGGGCAGGGCAAGGCTCAGGGCATGAAGGCAGAACAAAGCACAGGTTCTGAGGACAGGTAAGGGCACGGGGCATGAGGACGGGAAACGGCACGGGATCTGAGGGCGGGAGACACCACAGGGCCTGATGACAGGGCAGGGCACAGCGCCTGAGAGCGGGCATGGGACACGAGACCTTAGGGCAATGCAGAATACAGGGCTTGAGGGCAGAGTAGGACACAGGGTCTGATGGCATGGGACGGCACAAGGCCTGACGACAGGGCAGAGCACAGCAACTTAGGGCGAGGCAGGGCACGGGCCTGAGGGCGATACAACGCATGAGGCTTAATGGCAGAATAGGGCACAGGGTCTAAGGGCAGGGCAATGCACATGAGGCCTGGAAGCAGAACATGACAGGACAGGGCCTGAGGCAGGGCAAGGCATTAGGCTCGAGGATGGGCGCGGGGCCGGGGCATGAGGACATGGGAAGGCACAAGGCCTGATGGCAGGGCAGGGCACAGTACCTGAAGACAAGGCAGCGGCACGGGATCTGATGGCAGGACGTGTCACAAGGCTTGAGGGCAGAGAAGGGCAGGGGCCCCAAACTAGGGTAGGGCAGGGCACGGGGCCAAAAGACGGGAAGGCAGCGCATCAAATTTCCAGGCAGAATATATAAAGTATCGTGTTTGAGGGCAGGGCAGAGCGGGGCACAGGGCCTGAATGCAGAGCAGGGCACAGGGCTGAAGAAAGGGCAGGGCAAGGTACAAGACCTAAGGACAGGGCACTGGGCAGGGCACATATCCTAGGGGTATAGTAGAGAAGAACATAATAAGGTGTATGACCAAGGGTAGGGCAGGGCACAAGGACTGGAGAGGGCATGTATGTGCTTAGGTACATAGTAAATCAGGGCACAAAGCAATCGGAAAGCCAACATCTTTTACACAGTAAAAGACCGAGGCAAGTTACTTATTTTTGCTCGCACTTTGCGGCTGAAACCGTGGCATTTCAGTGTGGGACGCAGTGGTCCAAATTTCGCGAGGGCTACGTCCCAAAGGCAGGGGGCTGCGTCCCAAAATGGGACGCAGTCAGTATGTTAAAATATGCCCTGCGCATTTTTCTTGGCCGAAGTCAGAGCGCGCGGCCCGACGCACCACCACCGCACCACAAAGTATGAGCAGAAGCCGCGCCCAAAGCCAGGGCCCCGGTAACGTGAGGTAGCCGAGTCGGGGCAGCGTGCGCTGACCCAAGCCAGGGTCGCAGCTTTGGGCGCGGTCTACCGCATCCCCGCGGGCAGCCCCGGGCTATCACATGACACCGGTAGGGCGCGCGACCCCGGCTTGGGTCAGCGCACGCTGCCCCGACTCGGCTACCTCACGTTACCGGGGCCCTGGCTTTGGGCGCGGTCTACCGCACCACCTAACAGGCGTGTTCGAAACCGCAGGAGATCGAGATGATGATGAACGGGTTTATCGAAACTTGATTGGATGAGCATATCGGTAATAGCGATTTCAGTGTGTGCATTTATTGTCCATAGTGGTGTGAAATGTGGTTGGGGTACGACCGACAACCCGTCGGGGCGAATTTCGCACTGGGGTACTCAAAATTTGAAGAATTTGAGACGTTTCCATGAGTTTTGAAGGTATGGATAAGTTCTAAAAATCCGGTTCTCCTTATCTGGGCCATTAACTCCATACGGTCCAGGAAAGCTGGCACACTACCTTTAAACTCACCGTTACGAACCGAAGTTAAAAAAAAAAAATGTAATGCAATATAACTCAAAAAGTTTTGATCTGAGAATTCTGATATTTTGCCAGGCGTCTTTGGGGCCTAAGGCCTATGATTACCCCTAGGACCGATTTTCATTAAAATCTGATAGATGAGGGTGACGGGCCTGGTACGATCTATCGTGGAATGCCCCATGTCTCTATCTAAAGTTATTGTCAAAAACGCTTGGAGACGTTTTATGACCTGAGATGAAACGGGCGTGCGGCATTAAATAACCACAGGTGAAATTTCCGGTTCACTTTCATTTGTGTCCCGATCTTTGAGGTTTTTTTCCGAATTTGATGTATCATAAGCTATACCAAGTTTCGCGGTGCTGCGCGACGTGGTTTTCTTTACACACGCAAAAAAGAACTGGCAACTAAACGTCCCCCTTACCCCCCCCCCCCCCACTCGGGCGAAGGTTAAAGGGAAAAACGGCGATGTCTTCCGATCTCAGAGAAAGACTAACGCCCTCCCTTCCGCTTCGTTGCACAAGGCATGCGTCACAAATTGATATCCGATTTGATATCCGTTAGGCACAATACCTGAGCAGTAAGCGTGTTTCGGATTAGCTCGACAAGCTCGGCTATATTGAGCTCCTCGACCCAGCCGGCCCTGCTGAGACGAGCGGCTCCTCGACCCAGCCGGCCCTGCTGAGACGAGCGGCTGAGTTCCGGACGGCCCCGGCGGGGGAGGCAGGCACGTGGGAACCGGTCGGCACGTGCCGGTCCGCACTCCGCTCCCAGTTGCCCACACCGATCCAGCGTGCCAATCCTCGGTCTGGTCGGCTTCTGTTGGCGATGCCGGAGCCGTGACGCACACACACGCGCGCGCGTGCGTCAGGTCAGAGGCGGACAGGTGGCTACGAGCAGCGGTCGGTGCGCGCGGCGGCCGTAAAACGGAGCGGCGCCGGCCGGGCGGCGCCAGTCTGGAGGCGGCGCTACGCTGGGCCGGTCGGGATGACGTCCGCGCTGCTGTGTGTGTGCGGCGTGGTGGTGCTGCTGGCCGCCGGCTGTCCGGCCCTCCGACTGATGCCCGACCGGTACTGCTTGGCGTGCCTCTGCAACGCGGCGTCCAACTGTTCGCCGCGGATCGGCTGCCAGCAGCAGCGCGGCCACACCGTCTGCGGACCGTTCCTGCTCACCGCCGACGCGTGGCGGCGCGCGCGCAAAGCCGACCGCCAGTTCGCGCACCGGTTCCGCTACCTCAACTTTCGGATGTGCGCGTCGGACCCGGAGTGCGCAGCCGAGGCGGTCAGCCATGCGCTGGCGCACTCGGCCTCCGACTGTGACCGCGACGGCCGCATCACCTGTAAGGACTTTGGCATTCTGAGCCGCGGCGGGCCGGCCGCCTGCCGGAACAGTACGCTGGCGCGACGGGCAGCCGACTCCGACTACTTCCGCGTCCTGGAGGGCTGCCTGCTCGACGTGACGGCAATGCTGGGCGAGCCGTCACCGCCGGCAGGCTGTGGGCTCAGCGCCTGACGGACAGACCGGCACGTCCGAGCCCGCCGCTACGGACAGATGTCCGAGCCCGCGGCTGACGACCGATGTCCGAGCCCGCCGCTCAGGACAGATGTCCGAGCCCGCCGCTACGGACAGATGTCCGAGCCCGCCGCTACGGACAGATGTCCGAGCCCGCGGCTGGGACCGATGTCCGAGCCCGCCGCTCAGGACAGATGTCCGAGCCCGCGGCTGGGACCGATGTCGCTAGCTCAGCGGCTGAAGGAAGACTTCTCGACGCCTCGGAAACAAATTCACAAGGGAACGGCTGAACGAACGCCTGTGACTGCCGAGAAACTCCGTGCGGTGAGCCGATTCCAATCAAGATTCAGCCACAGCAGACGTCGTCGCTGAAAGAGGGGACTCTGATGTATAAAATGGGTGACCATAGGATATCTCCTTTGGAAGTATGAAAACCACTCATTTTCATCTGTGTTGAGAATCCTTCAAAACCCTGTAAGTTCGGAAGTGAGCGCCGACCAAAGAGCTTTGTAAGCTTACTATGGCTCATACGGTCTCGTCAGGAGGAGGTCAGGAGGAGGTCAGGCTGTGACGCAATAACCAGGTCATGGTCACAGCTGCTACAATTCTGGGCTTTCGGTTCACAGCTTGTCGCTGCTGGGAGTGTGTGTATGTATCAAGTGACTTTAGAATGTCCATTGCACACGGTATGTGCAGCGCATAGTGTATGGAATCATGAATGTACTTTGTACATGCTCACATGTGAGCACTGCTTGAGCTCCTGTTACATGAGACTTGGGCAATAGGAACAATATTTTGAGCCAGCCTGCGGATGGAATCGCTGGAATGTACATATACGCTCGCTGATGTCGGATCTTCCCGGAAGATCATGAGATTGAGCAATCTTTTAGCTCTCCCCACCCATGGCGGATATTCGTGATGCCGCGTCAGCTACTAGTGCCACTTTTGTAGTAAAATATACATTGAAATCAAACCATACACACCACAGATTCTTTTTTTAGACTTTTGGTCCGAATGGATGAACGAGTCGGACCCGTGCCACCCGACCTCGCCCGCGCCCCGTTCACCGGTGACAATAGGAATCGAAAGTTTAACGTACCGCAGGTAGATGGCGGCACGGTCATCCCAGGTCTAGGGGGACCCTCACTGGTCAGTTGCTTTAGTATATATTGCCTTGGCTTAGTATATGAGCGCGGGTCAAACGACGTGGAGCTTCCCGGCCGCGAGCTCGCTGCCATCGAGTTAGCAAACGGACGCCCTGCCCATTCTGAACCCCGCTCCTGCCCAACTTCCGAACCGATAGTCGCAGAAGGACGGAGAAAGCGGCAATCGAAAGGTCTCAACAAGACGGACTTTTGGAGAAAATAGGTTGCTAAAATGACCTAAATTACAAATTTAGGATACCTAATTACTCTCCGTGTCTCGAAATTCACCGTAAGTGCCAAGGTAAGCAACTCCTGAGTCCGGGCGGCAGGCGGTCCCAGGCGTTGGTGCACGGCATATAATTGACCAGCGAGCGAGTTCTGTGCGCACGCGTGGAGTTTGCAGTAGGACGCTCTCCAATCCCCACGTGGTCCTTCCTGTCTGACACCTCCGAACGGGACACAATCAATGTGTCCCACGTACTTTTGCTGACGTACAAGGTGTCTAAAAAAGTGTCACGGTTTTGAACATCTCCCGTTTCGTAATCACGATGCCTACATCATTTAAACTTTCCAGATTTTCTGGCAATGTTTTGTCAAAATCACAAGTTCCTAGGCAGAATGGTTTTTACACCAGAACAAACAAACAAAAATAGAAAAGCTCAATTTTTGTGCTGTAGGAGATGGTACGTCACAGCCTGCCGTCGATCCTGTAGGTAAGAGTAAGTCCCTTTCGCGTGAGGAATCCAGAAACAAGTTCATCAATACATTTTTGAAACACTTTATAGGTAAGAACACCGTGTACAGCTGCCATGTGGAGCACAGCAGCAAGCTGAAACACAGTCACAAACATGGGCAACGAGCAACACTGATTGATTTTCAGACGACGCGAGTTTCCATGCCCCGACGCCCGACGGCATCTTTGATGGCAAAATCCTCTAATCGGTTTTGTTCCGAAACACAGGAAGAGACGAAAGGATAGCTGATGGACAGTTGTAAAATTCCTACTCAAACGTGCACAGCTTCTGGGTGTGCGTAATGTGGCAGTGTGTCACAAGTCCTTTGCAAGTTGTCAGTGACTGCAGCTTTTGACGGAAGGATCAGGCATGGCAACGGCGGTGTCCTGAGACTAATGGGTGATTGCCATTCCACTGTCTGTTCTGCATGGCGTTTTTAGTCTCTAATAGTTGCAGAAAACTATTAACGAGTACGCTGCTGGGTGCAACAAGCAAAAGCCGAAGTCTTACCGAAGTTTTCGGCAGACTGTGACGTATACCATCTCTTATAGCAGCAAAATTGGGATTTTCATATTTTGTTCTGGTGAAAAAGCCATTTTGCCTAGGAACTTGTAATTCTCTCACATAAAATGTCAAAACGTTGCCACATTATCTGAAGAAAAAAATTAAATGGTGTTGGCCTTGTGGTTACGAAACGGAAGATGTTCAAGACCGTGACACTTTTTTAGACACCCTGTACATAGGTACAATGCACATACATTTGCGTTACGTATTTTTGTGATGCGTTCTTTTGTCCGCGACCCATCCACGTCTCCCCTGCACGGACCAGAAACACTGAGCAGAACCGTCTGCCCTCAGCCTCAATTCCACCACACGACTGTCGGTAAGACGCGAGAAGTTCAAAGCGATAAGCAGCTTTCGGAGAAGATAAGACACCGGGTTATTCCGTGGCTGAATACCAGAGCACGGCAGAGGAGTGTGCGACTTGATCTGCCTGGATCCGAGGCGCGCTTAGAAACTAAACGGAACTGACCGTCAACACGCACACCCACCTATCTCTGACCCCACATACACGTCTGTTGCTCGTCTGATCGTATGCTTTGATAGTAACGCAATATATTGAAGGTACCTACATAGATAGTGTGTTTTCCCTGTGTTCTCTTTGTGCAAGCTTGACCAGCCTACACATTGCAGCATCTCACGGGAATGCTTTGTTTCACGCAGCTTTTTCCGTTGAAGAACTAAGACTCCAATTGCCTATCTCTTCAAAAGTGTAGCACTTACCACAAGGTGGGTCTATCCAAACGGTTGCAAGCTTATTCGGATGATGTGGCTTTTTGAAGCAGGATGCAGCAATATAGAAAAAAAGATATCAAGTGAAAACGGTTTGAAATTTTGTGATTTTTGTTTAGTTCGGTATATTTTGTAAAATAGCTCGTTGCTACTTCCTTGAACTTCATACGTCATTATGATTCACACGTGCTGTATCAATGGATCGGAACAAAATGGGACATGGATAAATTAAGTAGCTTAGGCAAACAAAGTAGCTTGTAGTTTTGACGTGTTCCTTCAAAGCACCGCCTACAAGCTTCACCTATCGCCTCGCCTCATAATGGTAAGATCACGGGTTAACCCGGCAGTTACTGGGGTATTTCGCCACCCACCGTTTGCTGGGGGGGGGGGGGGCGTTAATCGCCCCCAGCCGATAACTCGAGAACCAATAGGCCCAGGGAAACGCATGAGAAGGCAAACGAAAGAATACGACGAGACGCTTCAGATGAGTACTTTAAAGTTGCATTTTGAGGTCACAGGTCGGGTCAAGGTCAGGTCAAACACCTGAAATCGGGCTTCCAGTAGCATGGACTTCAGGACTTCGCAATGGGCGGCTCTCGTCATAAACTCTGTCAAAACGGCGCACAATCCATCATATAAGGCCTACAAGAGTGTCAGCTCCATGTAGGGGTCAGTCAAGCATAGGTCAGGGTCAAGGTCAGGTCAACCGGGTAGGCAGATATCCCCGAAAATCAAAACTGATATTCGCAGCCTGTGACACATGTTTTATGGGTAATTTGGGGCGTAGAACACGATGGTGACATTCATTTTATCATTTGTGTAGGGGAGACCCGGGAGGTATGGGCCCCCTGGAGGTATGGGCCATCGCAATTTTGAAGAAGTGTCGCGTATTCTTACACATTTGACGGCGTAAACTGGTAGCAGCCATTCCGTTATACAACCCACGTGATTTTCATTATCTTCCTCAGTCTTCTTTGGCAATGAGCGGCGATGAAGCGTTTTTGCCCTCTTCGAGTAGAATACTGTACATACAGAAAATTCGTGGTAAATTTGAACCAGGCTCGTGTTATGATGTCAGGCCAATGCTTACATCAAGTTTAAAGCATGCAAATTAAGACTGGATAGACAATATGACGCTTTCTTGCAAGATTATGAGCTGAGATGCTACGCAAATTCTGGCGTCCTAACCGGGAGGTTCGGGCCACCCACCCCCGTTGATCCTAAATCAATAAAAAGATGCTTTCATTGAGTGTCATCTTCAATAAGTTTTATTTTTGTCGCGCAAGGTTGAAAATTTAACTTCAAATTTCATTCAAACAAAAAATATTATTTATTTTATTTCATGGAGCATGATTGAGTTTACTAAAATACACTACATATGTGCCCAAGTGACCTCCATGAAGTAAGCTGTTGGCCGCTTATGCGGTTCCTGGGCTCTAAGAGTGTACCGGAACGTGTTTGCCATAATATTGCACCGAATAATATTGCACACTAAGCGACTCGGAGCCAAGTTCGAGAACATCCCTTGTAAGTACCCCAAGCCGCATGCAGATGGGTATGATGGAAGAAAGACGTGAAGATTAATACCTCGAGCGTGGCAAAGGATGTTGGACCAGCCAGATATGGTCCATCGACCATCAGAACGCAATCATGTCACGGCAGTAAGTTTACATTCAGTGGGAATCGCACATCCAACGCCGACGGGATGGGTTGCCAGTGAGATGACGTCAGAGCCGGATGGCCGCGCTCGTTGGCCTGGCCTGACCTGCCCTGCTGAAATAGCAGCGGATAAGCAGAGCACTTTGGTGGCAAGAGTGCTGTTACGCTTCCAGAAATGTGCCCGGCTTTCCGGATGATGTCAATTATTATAAAATAGCTTTAACAACAAGAAGTGTTAAACACCAAGCAATCGGGATGTTGCAAAAGCTTTGGGACACTGCAAACAGTTTCAGTCTTGCAGTAAGGAGGCAGGACATTGAGTTGGTCACGGACTTGCTGATCATATCAGTTAAAGGCTGTTTTCCCGCACACGGTGTATTGGATTAGGCACAATTACTGAAGCATGCTTAAACCTTAAACTATATTTTAAGCTTAAACCTTTAACCTTAGACCTTGAACTATGTTCTAGTAATGCTGCTTAAATTGCTGGACT